CCCCTCTTTCTTGTATCCATGCAATATTTTTCTTTTACAGCTTTTGTGTGTCCCTCTCTTATCTTATCTTCTCCCTTCTCTTCTCCTTTCTCTTTCCTTCTCTTCTTCCTACTCTTACAAGTACAGGGAACTCATTGTCTCTCTCTTGTTTTTCCTTTCCTGTACTGCATTTTTAAAATCTGATGTATATTCTGGAAATGCACTTGTTTAGATGAAATGTAGGTAAATGCTAACAGACTGCTGAGAAATTATATATGAATATAAGGAAAAATTATTTGTTTAGGAATTAACTTTTTTTTCTTCCTTTTCTTCTTAGTCTTTAACTTAATAGTCCCCATTTTGAAAATGGTGTCTATCACCTTTTAGGGGAACATCTGGGAAAGACATGCAATTGTAATTGAAAGTTTGGAATTTTTTTTTTTTTTTTTTTTTTTTTTTTTTTTTTTTTTTTTTTTTTATCTTAATCTTGAATTGTATTGCCTTCAAGTGTGAAATCACCAAGTTTCATTTCAAAATTCATAAAAATAAGCACTTTCTCACCTCCTTTTCATCATAGCTTATCTCTCTTCCTAAAGTGTATTTAGAAAATGTTATTTTGCTTTATTATATTTCTTTTTTCTAGACTCCTGTTGGCAAAAAATAAAAATGGAATTGTAATTTGGCCTCAGAACAACATTGATAATGTCAGATTTGAGGAAAGAAGTGGAACAGTTGCCGTCACACTGAGCCCAGGTTTGTCAAATTTGATGTATGTACTATTTTCTTCTTCTTTTCTTTTTTATCATAGCCTGAATGTGTAAAATATAAGGATTATTAAGTATAATAATGAAGATCCTTTTGTACATTTTAATTCTCATAAGGGAATGTACTAGTAGGTCAATGGATACGATGGACAAAGTACTTGTTTTAGTCGTCTTTTTCTACTTTTTATTGCTTTGCCCATTTACTTTCTTGTTCTTTTTCTTACAGAATCTCAGAAGACATTCCCCTTGATTGTGAAGAACACAGGAAGTTGCCCAGCCATTCTCCGGCAGATCGAGTTGCTGCATGCCTGTCAGTTTGTGTCCATTACTGACTCCCATGGGGTATCAAAAGGAGAGAGATATGTCCGAGTGCTTCCAGGTTGTCTTTCTAAATGGAGTTTAGTAATTTGGAAGATTTGAATAATTTTGAGTTCTGTAATAATTATACAAATATCTGTTGGCTTGCTTTATCTTTATCTATATTTCTATCAGTATCTATGTGCATATGTGTGTGATTAAGGCAGATGCAGGCATAACTAATACATCCTTCATGTTCCTCATTTTCCACACAGATGTTGAGTATGCTATTGAGTGCCATACACAGGCAGACAATTTGGGTGTCAGTCAAGTACCTGTTGCTTTCCAATTCAAACTGGAAGATTCTTCACAGCCCTTTTTTATTATTAGGACAATAGTAAGTATTTCATCAAGTGGTACGTTTGTCTCACTCGGTATTTCTGATTGGATACCTTCATGGCAAGGGAGGTGCTTGCTATTAGGTAGAAACTGTCTAGATTATCTTGTTAAAACTGTAAACTAAATATTAATTTGTATCTGGTTTTATTTTTCAGTTTGTGGTATTTAGTTTAGTGGTAATTGGCAAAGTTTAGTCTTCCCTTGCTATTGTACACTGTTTATGTTTATTCTTATTATTTCTTTCTATCTCTGTCTTTAAATCATGGTCATCATGATATATGTTATTTCATTAGTATTTTATATACTAAGCTGTAAAGTGTAAATATGTCGCTCAAATTAATTCTTTATGGTAATCTCATATACATGGCCAACTTAGTAGAACTGTATCTTCATATAACCTTCTATAATACAATTAATTATTCTCCATCTTGTAAGATGCAGCGTCTTTAATTCACCACTTACCACCAGGAATAACGTGTGCACGTGCCATGCCCACTGTGTGTTTTATTTAGTAATTGTTTTTGGACGTAGATGGCTCCACAAATACTAAGTCGCCAATGAGCCAATTATGAGAACTACTTATCTCACCTGTTTACCCTTTTCCTTAATTTTCGATGATATTTTTTTGTATTGTTACTGCTGTTAATAATGTTCATAACAATATGATAATTATGTTTATAACAGAAATAACTATAGATATTAATAGCATTAGGAAAAATAGCCTTTTCCTGCTATTTCAAGGAAAAGTGAGGTCACAAGATCTACTATTTGACTTCTCTGTGGATAGGCACTGGCAGAGCCATCTATGTGCAGAAACATTTATTACTAAAGTGAATACAACATTTTCCCGTCAGCATTTGGTCAAGATCTTGTATGAGAATACATTAGTATTAGACATACTTGTCAGTAGGAGACATGCACACATAAAAATGCAAAGTATAACTCAGATGTATTGTTAGTAATACCCTAATAAAAGGTACAAAACTAAATAGAAACTCTTTAAATTATTAATTTACATAACAATACTGAATACTCCCTTTTTCTTCTATTACACCTGTTTT